ACTTTTCGGGACTCCCTCAGGTTACTGTTTCTTCCTCAGGAGCAGAATGGAGGCTCTGTGACATGGAGAAACAAGACGGTTTTCATTCTGGTGAGAGTTACTTGTGCTTTCATTTCCTCCAGCTCAATTGCATGGCTATGGCAAAAACAGAAATCCAACTGAGTAGCATTTTTGTCCTAAAAACATCTAAAATTTGTCTCCAATCTGTATCTTTTCTGAGGAGAGAAACTAAATCCATTCTAACAAGTAATTAAACAGACAAACAAATACCCCAAAACCACAGCCTCCTGCTGGCGCCTGTCTGCACCGCCCCTCCAGCGGCCCCTCCAGAGCCCGCCAGTGGTCTCCCTCCCGCAACCGGCCTGGTTCAGGGCGCACCGAGGTAGAGCTCCTTGTGTCCAACTCGGGGGACGCGTTGGGCAAAGATATGTATGGCAAATTTGGGTAAGAAAACTAAAACCTGAATGTGAAGCTATCGTCCTGTTTAACTTCAGAACTTTGTTCTCTGATTCCAGTCCTCATCACAGTTTTCTGAAATCCTGAAATATAACTTATGTGAGATTTCTCTGCCTAGTGATCCAGCAAACGAAAGCCTTAAATTCTTCTCCAAACTGCTATTCTCCGCTCCCCGCCCATTCCTAATTCAAGCTCAAAGTTTTATTTCCTTTAATACACTTAACAAACACTTGTTAATTATGTACTCTGATCTACACAGTGTGTCCTGTGGATATAGACTTTGAATCCATCTTAAGCCCTGGGGAAGGATTTCGAGTTTGGAATCGATTTAATGTCTACAGAAAGGATCCAAAGCTGATCAGTCGCCTTTTCTCCTTGTGTGACCAGACATCTCGCTGTGCTTAAGAGGCTGTAGGGCGTAAGAGAGACACGGAGATTTTATCTTTACAGAAATGATATCTGGAAGTGGGTTTTCGTTTACTGTCTTGATCTTTTATGCTCACCAACCACAAAGGTTTGTAATGGAGAAAAAAAATAAGCACTAAGAGAAAGCAATAGTGCCTGAAGAAAACATGTCAGTCAAACCTCTCAGACATATAACCGTGGAGTATCTAGTTTCATTTAATTTTAAGTCACACTGTGAGCATCTAGCACGTACGAGGCCCTGTGTTCAGTTCTAGACCAGCTCTTTTCAATGGAAATATATGCCAGCCACCTATATAATTTTAAAGTTTCTAGTAGCCACATCAAAATGATTAAAAAGAAATAGGTGAAATATATTTGAATATTTTTATCATTTCAACATGTAGTCAATACAAAAATAATGAATGTTTCACTTCTTTTTCATACTAAGTCTTCACAATCTGTTGTGTTATTTTACACTTATAGCACAAGTTAATTTGGACTCGACACATGTCAGGTGTCAAGAGCCCCGTGTGCAGTGGCCACCATACAGGACCACAGCTCCAGAGCTACCTATATAAACAGACTGTTCTGGTGATAGAGCTTCTGGGAGTCTAGGCACCCTTATAAGAACCAGGATCCCAGGGGAAGAAAAACTGCCTGAAGAACACATGCCAGTCACAGCTCTTAGACACATAATTGCGGTGCACTTGTTTTCATTTCATTTCAAATCACTTTGAGCAGGAGGTGTGGCCATCTTCCCTGCAGCTTGTGAGAATCCCATTTTAGATGCTACTGGGCCATGGCCCTTGTTGAGTGCTCCGACTTCCATCATCTGAATCACCAGGAGGCATTTAGGAGGTGATGCACCTCACCGGGCCCTGAGCATAGCGTCCCCATAGTTCACTGGGTTTCTGATGAGCAGTTTGTATCTTTCATTGCTTTCCTGGGAAATTGTAACGAAACTATTCCTCACCAGACAATTTTCTTTTTACTTTCTCTTTATCTAGTTTATTTGGGTATCTCTGTCATGGTCCTCGCTTTGATTTCTTTTTCTGTTTATCTAATTCCTTTATCTTGTTCAAGTTAACAAGAAGGAGAAGAAAAAGACAGAGGCATCTTGGATACGGCTTATGCACACTGTTAACTAGAAATGTTAAACACAGTGTGGCCGCATTTTGAGTACTTCTAAATATACTATATGTTCATAAGTAAATCTTAAGATAATGATTTTGGCACAAGGGTGAGCAGAATTTGTGAGGACAAGGGTTAATAGTGGAAAAGCAGAGATGAGCAAACGCCAGCCCATGTCCTGCGGCAGCTCCGGGAGGAAGGGTGGTCGCCACAGATGCACCATGCTGGCCTTCCATCTTGTCAGGGCCATGCTGACCTCGCGGACAATCCGACACACAAAACTTAAAGAAACTATAATAACTAAGACTTTTTGAGAGTAGCAGAAAATGTTTTCTGAATAAGCCATTGAATGTTCACCTTTTAAATATTACCAAGTGGAAAATCCCTGGTCCCAGGGGACCGTTGACCCTCTCCTACTAGAGGGAAGTGGACACAGGGTGGCGGGTGGCCCTGGACATCCACGAAACAGCCGAGGCACCATCAGCCCCAGTAACGAACGGCTGTCCGGGCGTGTGTGGCCTGCAGTTCCACCTGCGGGTCACGCCCACACCTGCGCCCCTACAAGTGCAGCTTTGCTTTTGACCTGGGGCCCACACAACTTTCACACATTGTTGTAGAGTTATCTCTAGTTCAAGATTCTGAGGAAAATATTTTAAAAGTTAGCCTCCCCACTCAGCCTCCTTTCAGTAGAACTTAGATTATTGGTCTTCAGCTCTTGTGCCTCTATTTCCCTTGCTCCTTTTCATCTCACTTCCCTTTGGCCATCTGCTACTGGGCGGGAACCTTTGGAAACCCCTGGTGTGAGGCCTTGAGAGCACAGGCTGGGAACAAACCAGACAGTTAAGCAGAAGCACCCCTGAGAAGTCAGGAGCCGCCTTCGTGGGCACTCTGGGGCGCTCTGAAGGCCAGACGCCTGGGCTCCCCTCCCCAGACGCCAGGCTGGACCTGAGCAGAACTGGCAAATGCACGAGGCTCGCCTCCCTCCTCTGCTGCCGTGGTCGTTGTCTGCCCAGTGCCATCCTGCAGATCTCTAGGTGAGCCTGCCAGCCTGCCCTCACTGGGCCGTGCCACCCGGTTGCCACGCCTCCCTCTCCTCTGTCTCCCTCCTTGCTTGACCTCTGAGAGCTGTCATTGGGGAGGAGTCATGCACTGATGGCGGGTGGAGGCTGGACGTGCACTCAACCCCAGGAGCACTTGCACTTAGGAAGCAGGGGATAAAACGACACTTCCTTCCAGCCACACAGAACGGGATCCGAACGGTGGCCTGTTGCACTCCATGACAACAGGACTGTCGTCTACCATTATGTAGCTTGTTCTCTACCTCGGACCTGAAGCCAAAGGGTGAGTGAGATTGTAAGCCCAGTCTGCACCCCACTCACCCAGCCATGCTCTCTGGCTCACAGCTGTGTCCTCCTGAAGGAACGAACACCTTTCTCTTATTTTCACAAAGCTACGGGAGTAGCTAGTAGCACTTTTGTGCTTAAGGGGGCTTTGGGGCATGGGAAGAGGTTTTACCAGTCCCTTTTTTTTTTCCTTTGCAAGCAGGGAGCCACGATGTAGGGTCATCAGCTCATCCCAGTTACCAGTCCCTTTTAAAACACATCTTGCAGGTGGCCCTCTACATAGTGTTTGTATAAATTCTATATAGTTTGGAATGTGGGTGTTTGTGATAATTCTTAGGTCTTGACTATGAGATTCTCACAGAGAGAAACAGAACAAGAACAGAAATATCAACCATTCAATAAATCGTTTTGGGGCCAATGTGACTCATCTCCCCTCATGACGCTGGCTTGCTGGCACGTAGGTAGTTTCGGTGACAGCAGGAGGCTTGGGCGTCTGTCTCATACTGTCTGAAGAGTGAACCTTACTAAGAACTGGGGGAAAACAGAGTCACATCCAAACGTAGGAGGCCTTCTAGAGAAAGGAGTGAGGGACTGTTGGAGACCACTGTCCTGGTGCTATAAAACCTCCTTCACAATATCGCCCCACTCTATAAAGGCATGGATTCATTAAAAAAACAATTTACTCATTTAAGTACCATTAGAAAATCCTGAATATCCCCTACCCCTCTCTGCTCCCTTCCACCTCCTCCCCATAGCCCAGTAGTCCACCACCTAAGCAATGCTTTCAGTGTGCACTGTGTGGAGCAGTCACGAAGGGGAGACAGTCTCTGGCCTCATAGAGCTTAACATGGTTTCCAGAACAGCCTCCCAGCCCGAGAGCGTGGGTCTGAGATGGCCTCTAGGAATTCTATGTTCGGGTTCCCTGCATGCTCTGTGATATCTCCTCAGTGCTGAGGAGACTTAGTTCTAAGGTCACTGATTTTGTCAGGAGAACAAAATGCCCAGCCCTCCTCCAAAGAAAGGAAGCTATTTCTTTCCTGTGTTCTCTCACTACTTGGTAAAGGCATTTGGGTTTCCCAAACACCAAATAAAAGCCACTGACCTCCAAGACAGGGCCCCGACCCCACACTCACCCGGTCAAACCCCCTCTCCAGGCTTCAGCTCTCAGGAATGTCATTTATGTTTTCTTAATTTTCTCTCCCTTATCAAGGTTTTTGTACTATCTGTAGCCTCACATGTATTTGTGCATTGTCAGGTATTTGTTGAGCACCTGTATTAATTTTCTCTGAGTTTGGATAAGCAAACGCAGGGACAAGACTGAGTCCCTACCATTTTTGAACTGATTGGACACTCAGGGAGACTGACAAGCATGTTAACCATTTCAGTCCAGGGTGATAGGGCTGTGATGCATTTGATGGAAGGACAGAGAACATAGCCACCAACTCCAGCTGATGAAATTGGGAGGCTTCACACAGGAGGTGATTTTTTATCTGAGTCTTAGACAGTGAATAGGAATTAACCAGGTAGAGAAATGAAGGAAGACAATTGCAGACACAGGGCAGAACATGTGCAAAGTACCAAGGAAGATGTACAGGATATCTTATAATTAATACAGGGAGACCCTCAATACAGTTCTTTATCTTAAAACCTGCGAATTAGAGAGACAAATTATCTGTCTCCCACCCCCACACACCACCTCCCCCCAACATACAATGGCATAGGATGAGCACAGGATCACTGCTATAGACACTCATTCAAAAGGGAGAAAAACAGGAGGCAGAGAGGAATTACTGGTCCAAAGCAATTCTGAAATCTGGCAGGGCACCTGTGGTCAGTTCCTTGATTTGGGATCAAGCCCTGGAAATTATTCACTGTGGCTCTTGGTTCTTCCCTTGGTGTCTGTCATCCATCCATCCTTGGTGTCATAAAGGATTGTCCACATGTGCAACTGAGTAGATGTCTCAGACTATTCTCAGCCTATAAAAGTTTGGGGAGCTAACGTCCTCTTTTTCTTTTTTTTTCATTTTGTACTTTCTCTATCTCTTTTAGTCCAAGATAGGAGTGTTTCCGCTTATAAAATTCTCTTAAAACCTTTGGGAGCCTCCTATGGGTCTTACTGTAGTTTGTGTCATTAGGAAAAATCACAACCTACAAATCTTCTCATGATAAGCCATTCTCTACCTTGGGCTTCTATTGAGCCCAATGATCCTTCACAGGTCTGGATTTTTGCTATTATTTTTGTTTTTGTTTTGACTGAGCAGTTCTATAAGCATTACCTTAAATCTTTCCAACTTCTTAACAAAGGACTTTATAGTCACATCCTTAATGTCATCTTTTCAGCATGTTCTCCCGACCATTCATGAAATTTTACTTTTCTCCAGAGCATTTCCTTTTTTAATGTTGCTTTTTATCAGCAGAGGTTGGGGATTTTCCCATTCTGCAAACTAAGCCTCTTTTATAGCTAGTGATGTTTTTTTCTTGAGCTCATCCTTTTCCCCTCAAATTTTAATATAAAAGCAACAGGAAGAAGCCCGGGCCACCTCCGCCTGGAAATCTCCTTAGCTAGATCACCCATTAGGTACCTTTTCTGTTTTCCACATTACTGCAGGCAAGAGTGATGCTGAGCTTTCCATTGCTTTGTGATGGATCCTCTTCTCTCTGGTTTCCAGCAACATCTTCCTCACTTTTCTTTAATCCTGACATGTAGACTTCTCGAGGGACATCAGGCTTCTGCTAACAGTCTCCTTGAGACACTTTATAGATTTTTACTAACACTCTCCTCAAGGTCCTTCCAGCATCTGCTCACCACTGCCCCAAAGCACCCCCATATGTTTAGGTTTCTGTTGTAGCAGCACCGCACTCACCTGCTTTCTGCACCCGCTTCCTGCCTGTTGGGAGCTCCAGCTACCCTGCATCAAGCCTGCTCTGGCCCCAGGCGGGCAGGCAGCAGTAGGCAATTTTCTTTCACATCTCCTGCCACTTCTGAAGATCTCAGGAAATAGTTCTAACATATCCTTGCAAAGACTGGTTCCCCAGAGGAGCTCCTTGGTAAACGGCAGAAAGATAGGGTTAGTGGAAGATTGTATTTGATGATGGTATTTGATGCAAAACCAACCAAACAAACAAATACCTTTTCAGGACACCTGATATTTCATTCACAGAAAAGTATCAAAATTCTGTGAGAAAAACATTTTTACTCTCTGTTTGAAGGTGAGATTCAGAGAATGAGATCCATTTATAACATTCTGGGAGAGAAAGAAAAAACGTTGAGATTAAATTTATGTTAAGTTACTGTGGTTACTTTTACCTATCTTAATGTTAGGTTACTTTTATTTTTAAACATTGTCAGCCCAACAGTGGAAGGAGTGCAGGGCAGAACGGGAAAGGCGCTGGGCCGAGGACCCGTGCAGACCCAGACCGTGAAATCCAAGCCCGTCTCTTAAGCCCCATCATGCCCTGTTTTCTCATCCCTAAAGTGGACATTATGGGGATTAGAGGAGATATAATGTGTATGACTTAGCCAAGCAGAGCATCTAGTGTGTGATCAGTAAGTTATCCTGAACTTATTAACATGGAAACCATACAAAAGACTCCTGTTTTCTCTGAAGCTTCCATTGACTCTTCAGAAGATTTCAGAGGATCCTGGAATCAGAAAGCTATTCTCCAACTCTCCGACCAGGATGCAGGGGCTAGGAAGGAGCAGGAGAAAGGGCAGCTTCCCTCTTGTCCTCTTAGGAATTAGATTCTCTCCCATACTACAGAAAAAAATCCCAAATGTAGGACTGTAGAATGTGCAACTCTCCAGGGCCCCATTAAGTAATTTCCCAACTGACTATTTCAGTACAGAAATAAGACCAATTTAATTTTATTTGGTCTCCAGCCCAAATCTCCCTTATCTGGCTTCAACTCTTCAACTTTCTCCCAAGGAGCCTTGCAGCAGGAGGCTGGAGGCCAGTTCATGCCCCGCAACAAGAAACAAGCCCTGAGTCCCACTGTGGTGGCAAGCTGGGAAAAAACACAGAGTTAGACAAAGGAGAGAATGAAGGTGAAAGGAGATTTGAAGGAGAAGAATGTTAGGAGATTCGAGAGGAAAAGCATTAGCAGTCATGGTGATGTGTATGTGAGAGGGAGGTATCCGGTGAGGCTTCAATGGAAGCAGAGATAAAAGAAGGTGGCGTTTGAAGGACACTCCAAGGAAAAGGCCTGTGGCAAGCATGTGACCCAATCGGTCCCCCCACCCCACATCACTGAACCCTGAAGCTGCTCTCCAGCCAGCAAACTGAGTGGCCTCTTTTTCATCTGATCTTGTCCCCAATCCACCCCCATACTTAAAGCCCAGGTACAGGCGGGTTCCTGTACCCCCAAGTCACGTCTGCACTCCTCATGGAGGTGCGTCAGGCCTTCTGTGATCCGGCACTGCCTACCTCTCAGCCTCACCTCTCTCCCACTCTGTTCCAGCCTCTCCAGGCAGCACGTTATTCCCAGAGCTGGCCTTGCTTCCTCCCCAGTCTGATTTTGCTATGGCTCTCTCTGTCCTTTCTTCAGTCCAACCTCCGTGCCTTTGAACATGGCATTTCCTCCCTTTATCAGATCCTTTCTTCTTCCTCCCCATCTAATTCCCATTTGGTTTCCATGTTTCATCTCAATCACTCTCTCCTCCTGGAACCCTTCTCCGCTGTTACTCCCCCAACACCCTCCACCCCACACACAACTTCTTACCCTCACCCCCCCTCACCGCCAAAGCTGACCCACACACTTGGGCTCACGTCTGTCCTAGCACTTGTCTAGTACCAGGTTGTCTGTCTCTGTCACTAGGAGAACTGCTGCAGGACCTTGCGTATGAGCATCTAGAATGCCTTGCATGGTTTCTGGAAGCTAGATGTAAAGAGTTCCATAATGTTGATTGAGGGAATGATCAGGTGGGTGAGTGCTCACCTGGTGGCAAAGAAGAGGCAGTCAGGAGGGATCCCGTGAAGGAAAGGTGTTTGGTGAGGAGGAAAAGTGTAACACAATATAGAGAAGACAGTGTTTGGTATAAAAAAACATTTACTTTTGCTGGAGGTGGTAACTTCTATTTTAGCAGAGAAAACACCACATCTAAGCAGCATGTTGGGCTCTTTCTGCTGCATCCAAGAGAAGAATCGGGGTGTCAAGGGATAGGAGTCTCAGATCTCACAACTGGCACTGCTCAGGAATCATCTCCCCCCAACTCCCCAGGGCTCTCTTCCTAGACTGCCAAATGTCTAACTGCCTTTCTTGTTGCTAACTGTCCCTTTTACCATCCTCACTGCACCTCCAAGCCATCGCCCCCCACTAGGGACAAGCTCCCAGGCTCCTCTCCTGTTCCAGTGTCCCCACTTTCTTCCCCAACTCCCACCTTGTCTTATTTCACATGACCCCCACCACAACCCCCTCAATTCATGCATTTGTCCATGTCCTAGGAGCTCCCGCTAATCATCTCACTGTCCACATTCCCCACCAAAGGTGTCCTGCCTCGGCTCTTCCATTTCCTAATGCTATGAAGGCCCCCCAAGTTCTGTTAAGACGATCAGAATATTTATGGACACTCATTCCTTCAAACCTCCAAGGCACTAAATTCATCGACCCGAGATGCCACTCTGACTGAGCTCCTCTAATGCTGCAAGGCCTGCCTTGTAGCTGAAGATCGATGTCTCTGCTTGTGGAGGGTCAGTTACATTACGCACAGAGTTTTATCGGTGTGGGCAGAGTGGGAAGGTAATGGAGAGGCAGATCAAGGCCCCTGCCCCTCCCCAGCTGCCTCCTGATCCTCTCTCCTTTGGTGCAAATACCATCCCCAGAGCCGGAGTGGCATGGTTTATTTTTATCTGTTTATTTTGCAATTAACAAAGAGAAGGGGCCTCTTTTTGATGTGCTGGTTCAGGGGTTCAAAGTGTCTAGCTATCTTGACCCCTTCACCAGCCTCCGACATCGTAGTGTGGCTGCCCAACTGCGAAAGATTTATACTTATTTTTATATAATGGAAAACTCATTGCCGGACATCAAGTTACTCACTTTGATTTGTTTTCTTTGGAAGAAGCGGCGGCAGCGGCAGCAGCGCCCCAAGCTGGGTCATTAACATGGCAGCAACAGCAACAAAGACCTTTACAGCCGCTGCCTGTAAACCGTGGATAAAGTTCAAGCATTTATTCTGTTTGAGGCCTCCCAGTGTCTATAAAAGCCCAGCACGATTATATGATCAGTGTCAAGACCCACTCTCCCCTCTTTGTGCTCTGGGATGCGTTTCCTTGCCCCGTCCCTCCGTGCTGCCACCGCAGCTGCTCTGGCTTTAATAGCAACCCAAGGCACACACTGTTGGAGTGTTCCTTGGGCTTTGTTTTAAACATGGTTTTTGCTTGTGTTAACTACCGCCTGGCTCTCTGACACCCATGAATGGGGCTATGCCGGGCTGTCAATCAACAACAATAATAATGCCATCTGGGTTTGAATAATACTAATGAGAAGAAGAAGAAGAGGGATACTGTGTATTAACATAGCACCTTTGTCCAAGAAGCTCGGAGGGCGTTCAGGATAATAATTCATTCATGCTCTGAGCACTGCTTGGCGGTAGATATTACGATCCCACTGCAGGGGACTGTGACACAGAGAGGACAAGTGGCTGGCCCCAAGGTCACACAGTAAGTCAGGAGATGGCACACAACTTAGCTGTTGTGAGTCCTCAAAGCACTGGCCCTGTGGGATCACGATGAACTGTAACTTTCTGTGCATCTGTTTTAAAAATCTACCTGTAAAAAATCTCTATGCTTTAGGTGTTTCATGCCTTATGGAAGGAAGAAAAGAGGAAATGAATGTTCTAGGGTGCAGGACAGACCTCTAAGATCCTCAGTATTAAAGAAGAGCCCATCCAAGCCAGGGGCAAGGAAGGAAAGAGTGATGAGATGCCGGTATATCACTGGGATTGCTATAGGGCAGGAGGATGGTGGAAACAGGTTAATTAAAGCTGAATGGATAAAAAGAAAGAGAAATCTCCCAGGTGTGTGAGAAGGCAAGCTAACCACACGGCCAAAAAGCTCATGGAAGGTTAAATGAGCAGTGGGCATCAGAAGGAAGGCACCAAGAATTTCCCTGTTTGGTCTAAAATCCCATTCTTCACTTTTCTGATCCCATCAAGGTGCCCCGGCCCAGCTCTGTTCTCAAGCCCCAAGTGCACAGCGTGGTTCCCAGCGGGCTCTGCCACTTCACAGCAGTAGAATCAACGTCACTTCTCCGTGTCGGTTTCCACTCCGTAAAATCAGTGAATAACATTATGTCATCGTGTTTCCCCACATCCCACAATAACTTCTGAATTGATTTTCCCAACTTCAGTCTCTTCTTGTACCTATCATTGGGTTGTCATGAGGATTAAATAAGTTAATATACAAAATACTTAGAATAGTGCATGACACATAGTGGGACCTCAATGTTCGCCATTATTATCATAAGTAGTAGAAGATTCTTGCTATTGTCACCATCATCATCATTATTAGCCTCCAGTTTGCTGGCTGCTTATTCCTGAACAGACAAAAAATAGAATAAACACCCAGGAAGGACTAGGTCAGTCCTACCAGACATATCATTAAAACAGCCAGCACCTCTTCCTCGCTCCTGTGCTCGTGTTGCCTTTAGTAACCGTACCCAAAGATTAGCTCTTCGTCTCACTTGCTCCATGTCTTGATTTTGTCTCCTGGGGTAGACTCAGCAAATGCGTGGTGCTGCGCTGAATCCCCTCCCTTCCCCGCAGCACCCGGCTCGCCACTTGACAAGCAGACGCTGCTCAGAAGTCACACTGCACCCTTCCGCAATGTCCCCCACACCTGCCGTGTGCCGGCCTGAGCTGAGGGCGTCGAGGATACATGGGAGCACTCTTCTCCTAGGAGAATATACTTCTTTTTCAGAAGAGATAAGCCATATGTGAATAATTCTCAAAACTTAGTATGCATCAGAATTGGGCTTATTTAAACACAGAATGCAATTAAAATGACTTTGAATGCCCATCTAAATTTTACCTGTACACTTTTTCACTGGAATTACTGAAATTTTATAAGAAGGGGAGTAATGTGCTCAAAGTGTTATCCCAGGAATATAAACCTTGGAATACTGTAGAGGAGAGATGAGACCAGGGAGAGATTGAAGCTGGGAAATGAGTTAGAAAGTAAATAGAATGTGCTAGGTAGGAGAGAAAAGTGCTGAACTAAACAATTAATCAACGTGTTGATTTCGAAGGCTTCCAAACCTCTCATCAAATCATTACATTCCTGGTTCCCTCTTCCTTGCGGAGAGCGATACCTTGTGCCCTGTAAGTTCACTATTGGTGGGTGGTACCATCTGTGCTTTTTGTCCCTAACCCAGTTTGGAGACACTTCATCACTGGGACTGACTCCGAGGCTCTCTCTAGTTTCCAAGGCAAGTGTTCTTTGGCAGTAGACAAACAGATGTGCAATTGCTCCCCGGGCCTCCAGCGAGGAAGACCCCGGTTTCATACCTCTCCCAGCCTCGCCTGCGCTGGCCCGGCTCCCGCCCTCGGGGTGCCGCAGTGTGCGCGCTTCCCTGCCACGGAACCGCGCCTGGGCCCACGCGAGAGTCTCTGATTCCCAGCGAAGTGCCTGTCGCAGAGTAGGTGCTGGAGAAGTCTTTATTGGAAAAAAAAATAACGACAAACTTTATTAAAAGTGCCTAAAACTGTTCGTGTGTTCAAACACGCAACGCCACGCCGTGCATAGGTGTCTTTGTGAAAGCGCCCGGCTTGAAGACAAAATTGATTACATCATATCAGGAGGCGGCTTGTGTAAGGTCCACCCTCAAGAAAAAGAAGCTACCTCATTAAACAGGGTTGTTTCAAAAAAACCATCTGTCTTCCTCCCTCCTTCCCTCCTCCTCCTCTTCACCTACTATACAAGCCACGGGGGGGGGCTGCTTCCTTCCCTGGAGAAATTTGAACTCCGGGGAAAGATACACAACCCCCCATAATTTGATTCTATCAATTCAATTTGTAGTTTAGACTACGGTGAGCCTCAAACCACGCAGTGCAGGCATGCGCAGGAAAGGGGAAGCGAGCACACCCTGCGGGCGCGAGACTGGGCGGTAGGCGGCCGTAGGCGGGCAGGCCCGTTCCCGCAGACCGAGAGGCAGGGACGGGCTCTGCGGCTGGGGCTCCCACCAGGGCGCGAGCTGGGGCAGCGGGGAGCGGCCACGGCGCCCACGGGGGAACTGTGCTAAGATGGAGCGAAATGGTGGCAGATCTCAGTAAGCCACAGGAAGAACTGTGAATTCTACTCGCAGGCAGAGGACAGTGACTGAAGTTTCCAAAACAGTGACATGTACCCAGAATCTAGTTTTGACAAGACAGTGCTGGCCCCAGTGGCCAGCCAGGGTGTGCCCTGTGGCTTGAGGCTGCTGGTACTTCCTGCACTTCCCCCAGGGGTACAGAGAAAGGAGAACTCTAGCCGGTCTGGCCGGACCCTTCCCTCTGTAGCCTAGCGCCCTGGGAATTTATCTGCCTTAGGGCTGGAGTTGTTTTTGGAGTGTTTTCTTGAGAAAGGGATGTCCCCTGAAAAAAATCCTCTCTCCCTCCCCTCTCCACACCCTGGGATTGTCTTACACTCAGCTTGAGATTGAGCCGAAAAGTCCTTTGAACCTCTGTGCTCTCTGCAGTGACCGCCCGCCACAATGGGCAGGGCGCCCCCGCCTCTGGCAGGCCAAGCCGGCCCATTCCTTACATGTCATGGATTTTCCTGGAGGGAAACAGTGGATGCCACCCGGTCATGGCTTGAAAAGATTCCATGCTGTCTGCACAAACAGAGACTGGAGTCTCTGGGAACAGTCTCGCTCTCACCTCGCTCCCAGAAAGCCTCCCTGCCCTGGCCCGCGCAAACAGGCGTGAATTGTTGCTCTTGCTTCTACACACTGCTGTACTGTGGAGCTGGGGCTTGGGGGTTTGCCTTAAAAAAATAGACCTCTTCATCTCCTTTCTGCATTGGATATGCTTGTCTCGGGGGAGCTTTCCTTCCCAGACAGCCGGAGCGGCACAGACAAGAGGATTCCTGGGAGGGGCCGAACTAACTGCAGACACCCAGGTCTTGCCAGTGTGACTGGGACAGTGAGCAGATTCCACCAGACACACCCCTCTCTGCGCTCTCCCACCCCCACAGCCCGCTCCCTCAGTGAACTGTTCTCCTCTCCACGCAGAAAGCCCCTTCTTTCCTGCTCTGCCTGGGGAACTCCTGTTCATTGTCTAGTGCTAGTTTAGGACACTAGTACTGGGAAGTCTTCCCCAGCTGCCACGTGGAGAAGCAGACAGCTACTGGTTTCCCCGTTATCCATGCTCTTTGGACGAGCCTCAGTGGGAATGCCAATGAGACTGAACTGTAGTTGTTCGTTTAAATACCATTTCCTCAACCGGACTCTGAAGTGCCTGAGAACAGGTATAATGAGAGTCTGGGGCGGGGGGCAGCTGTACAGGTTGTATACTGCTCAACCCCATGGGCACATTATAGTCCAAATATGCCCTGCAAAATCCTAAGCAGTAGCTTTGGAGACAGTTAAATCCTATTTCCAAAAGGCCATGCACACAACAGAAAGTTTGTTTATTTAACTTACTACAAGGTTACTGCTCAGATTTTTGCTTTTCCCATCCTGGTCACATAAAAGAGGGAAGAAACAGTAGTTAGCTCAACAGCCTTGCAGTGCAAAAATGTCCATCATCCCTTGGAGATAGGATACTGCTTCTAGATCAAGGAGAGGACTCAAGAAGTTCCTTCTGGTCCCCCTTCAAACAGCTGACGGCTGGTCCAGGGATGGCACAGGGGTTTCAGATCAGACTGTGAGGCGGTTCCTGCCCGGAACCCTAATCTGGGAAGCCTTCTGCGGCAGTGCCCGGACGCCCGCGGGAAGGACGCCCGACGGCCTTGTGCAGCCTGGTGACACGTAGGGCTGGGGCGGGGAGGCACGCCTGCCACAGGGCTGCCCTCCTTCTGGCTGGGTCTGGACACTCTAGCTTGGATCATAGGCTAGGGGCCCTGTCCCGTCTTGTCCTCACGTTCTCAGGGTCCTATGAGTAGTACATGGATTTTTGTCCCTGTGCCTCAGATTCTCACCTGCATAGTGAGCTACCTTTCTGTTACGGTTCCACAGGGGCAAAGCAGGGGTCACAGGGAAGCTTGGAGCCCCCCCAGCAAGAGAAAAAACTATCGAGGGGTTGGATGTGCCCAGGATCCCTCTGAAATCATCCAACAACGTGAGCTACTCACTTCCCAGTCCTAGCTCCAGTGTCTGTTTTTCTCTGTCCCTCCTCTCTCCTTCCATCAGGGGGGAGTGAGGATGGGAGGGGATGAAAGCAGCTCTGAAAGGTGGTTATAAACATAACAACAGTGTAACAGGCCTTGTTACCTGAACAGGTAACAGGTAACAGGTAACAGGCCTTGTTACCTGAAACTCAGTAAATGGGCATAAAGATTGGGCAGGAAAGAGTCCTGTTTTCCCCTGACTTACTGGAAGAAGACGAGAGGGTGGCGGGTGGGACCCCAGGCTCGGGAACTGCACTGCGTGGGTTCAGCTGCCACCTTGAGACCCGCAGCCACATGCCCCCGGGCAGATGGCTTGACCTGACTCTCCAGTTTCCTGGTCTGTAAGAAAGCTAAGAAAATCACACTTACCTCACCAACTTGTGAGGATTAAGTGCGTTATTAATAATAAGTATGAAGTGCTTAGAACAGAGCCCGGCGCGCGGTGAGCCTCCTTCCTTGTGGTCACAACTGCGAGTGCCGAGTGCCATTGCTGTCACACAGCGCTGCTCCCCCTCCGTGTGCTGGGGAGGCCACCTAAGACGATGCAACAGAAACACGTGAGAGCAGACCAAGGACACGCAGCAGACACACATACCTCTCGTCACATCAGCCCCAGACCCCTGCCCCTACCATTCTGCAGCTACCTGAAGCTTTTACAGTCTCACCTTGGAGTGTCTTTGCTCTGGTGCTGTATGCGTAAAGGAACGACCCGGCGCCTGCACATTCACTGGGCGCTCTGCCAAACACCTGCACATTCACTGTCAGCCTCGGACACTCTGCCTTGGGCACTAGCCAGTTAATAAAAGGCCCTATAGGCACTTGTACCGATAAGGTCTTCCAATCCCCTGGACAGTTCAGTGAAGTGCTAGGCTATTTCCATGCTTATTTATTATTTGGGGGGGCATACGCTAATTGACTGCATGCTAAGTGAGAGAGCAAGATGCTGGGGACTATGAGGAGGTGCTGGTCCACCTCTCCTGCTTCACCCCTACTGACTCCTGTGCCCAGAATCCACTTCTTCCCTTGCTAACCAGCAAACACCTACTTATCCTTCTAAGCCCAGCATGGGGCGATAACCTCTTCCACGAGGCCTTCCTCAACATCCCCCAGCTGCAAAGCAGAATTAGTAACTTTTTCTTGTGAATTTTTTGGCCTACATTTTATAACGCACTTTCTGACATTATGCTTAAATTATTTGCCATGCTGTATGGTGAAGGCTGGAATCCTCTAACTGAGCCCTGAGCTCCTCGAGCTGACCCAGAGCCCGGCGGGTGTGTGTTCAGCAGTGCCGCCACACCGCTCAGTGCTGCCTGTCAGCCCAGGGTGACTCTGGCGCCTTGCGTTCCGTGAGTTTAAGATTTGCTTTTAGACTGCAAACACCAGGCTGCCATAGGGATTAAAAGCAAATATGAGGGAAGATT